ACAGATAGCCCTTGTGTAACTTTGTGCAAAAATTCAAAAACAAACAAACAATCCACCATGTAGCATAAGTCCATTGAGTTAGACATATCAACTACATTATTCTCTAATCAAGATTTCTTCAATTTATAAATAAATGGTTGAATGGTCATTTTCCTTATGATTAGAAGAGACATACTTAGAAGATATGATGATGTTTTAATAAGAAACTAAATAAATAAATATTAAACACTACCAGAATGGTATTATTTTTTAATTGTTTTTGTAAGTTAGTAAAGGGATGAAGAAAAAAAAAGACTTACCATGTAATACCAGCACATCATGTTATTCTTTTCAACAGTTTCTGTTAATATAACAATGACATACAGGGGCTGTGAAATATCTCTGACATTTAGGAGCCAGGATTGTAAGATTGTCCCAGGAAAATGTATAACCAATTTTCAAATTTTTTATACAAATTTTGTGTTTATAGGCATAAACAAAATACACATACCTACTGGTTTTTTGTGTACTTTAATTTTAACAATGCTTTTAAAGTAAACTAATAATGCAGTCTTTTCTATGTTATGTAGAATTATCTAAGGCCCACAGAAACTCTAAATTAGAGCCTATTTGCCAATACACGTTTATAGCAATACAGCAAAACATTAAAAATGTAAACATCTTTGCAGAATTATATCAATTTGGACTTACTTTATGGTATTTTGATACTTATTTGAAGATCAGATTCTGTACGAATCTTTTCTTTGATATTTGACATTTATATATATTGCAAATAATACTATATAGAAACAAAAAGTGCACTTTTTTTAATGAGAGGCTCACTAAAAGGGTAATACTTTTAGGAGACTTGCTGTCTGAGATTTGGCAAGTCTTGATTAGCAATACATTACAGATCTATAGAAACTTATTATTTATTTATTTAGGGTTTGGATTAAGAATTCTGGTAAGAAATGACTGACATATATTTTTCTTTTGCTGATAAAATATCACTGCTTTGAAGCACTGATCACAAACATGCATGCTGGATGCTTAGTTAACTTAACCAGTATAAAACACACAGTGTTTGTTCAGCTCCATTTCTTGAAGGATGGACTTTGCCTTGATATTGTTAGACAGTTATACAAAGCAGTTGAGACTTATGTTCATATCACTAATAATTAATGATAAAACTGCAGAAGTACTGTTCTATAAGTTTGTTAATGCTTTGCACCAGTGTCTTTGCAGTGCAACCAAATGCTTCTGTAGGAAATATTTATACAGTTGCTTCATTTTTGCTCCTTTTAAAAGCTTAAATTTTAATGACACCTCACACAAAATCGTTTTTTTTTGTATTTAAAAATTTAATGTAATTTTTAAAATATACTAATTGAGTATCAGGATACATTAGACATTAGTACTGCTATGTTTTTTATTATTAGAATATGATATTCAAACAGTGTATGTCTAGTAACTGGGAAGAATGTTTGTATTGATACAAATGACATATTGAGGTTAATAGACAAAAATACAAAAACAAATTGATACTGGTACTGATATAAAACATTATGCAGTTTACAGCCATTAGTTACTTATCTAACATCAGTGATGTATCTCGTATATGATCTGTTGTTGAAATTAACTAATTTCTTACATACACTCTTTTCTGCGCATGTCACAATATTTTACTTAGTTATATTTAAAATTTAATTAAGGTATTTTATTATCAATGTTTGTCAATGAAATCAGCATTAAAATTTACATTATAGTTCAAGATTTTATATTATCTACGTTTTAATTCCTTTATTTCAAAAGAAACCTTAAAGAAAAATTCTTATAGTTTTGTTTTATTCTCTCGTGATCCACAAGTTGACAAAAACGTTAAATTTGTGTCTTTGTAGTTTGAACAGTTTTTGACTCACGCTAACCTTCCATATATAGAAAGATTCTAGGTTAATTGCCCTGTTTACACATTCTTCTTTCAAGTTCCTTAGGGCACATTTGTAAAAAGGAGAAATAAGTTTCCCTGAACTCTTGACAGATGCCATGCCCACTTTCTACACATAAAGTTGCAATTTCTCAGCCAATTATACTTAGTTGAGCTAGATGTTTATAACCAATGGAAGGAAAGAGTGCTTTTTGAAGGATGTTCTCTTAACTATTATTTTAAAATCGGCACAAAGAATTATATAGAAAATAAGTGAAACTGCTCTTAGCATTGTTACTTTAGTGTTATATCTCACCTAGAAATATGTTAGTTAAAAAAACAATTGCTTTGTATTTGGGTTTTGGTTTTATATTTTACTTAATTTTGTGTTGTTTATGTTTTAAGATGAATATTTGAAAGGTTTAATATATGTATATTTTTTAATATAAGCCAATCCCCCTCGGTTTACAAGGGATAGTGTAATACACAAATGCCACCACATTCTGCTGAGGGCTAAAGTTTCTCTGCCTACTATACTGTAATATTGGTTGGGATGCCCATTGATGTGTGTTGCTATGAATAATGCTAAAGTACAGGAAAGGATAATAAATTATTAAAATAAATTATAGGTGAAAATGTAAAGGCATACAAAAAAAAGATGTTTTAAGATTATTTCATGAAATATTAAAAGGCATGTATATTTTTCCTGTGTCTTAATTTTAAACATTTAATTTACTATACGATAGACTCTATAATATAAGTTGACAATAATAGCGACAGTTAGTAATATTATAGAAAAAGTGAAAAAAAACTTAACAGAAACTTTTGACATTCAATTAGGAGGTTCTAGTGGTTATGAAAATGAAGTTTGAAACCTATAAGTTGGAAAAAAGTATTTTTTATACTCATGTTGTTTTGTTTGTTACACGAGAGGCTACTTGGGTATAGACCCATAGATATAGGGTTAAGTCTTGAATGTAACTACTACAAAGGGTCATTTATAGTTTTTAGAAATGATAATCAAGATTGACATACTTGTACAAAAGATTAATTATCTCAGTGATCATGCTTTGTCTTCTTCCCCTGAACATAAACCAGTGAATGTCTTAGAACTACAATTTCTGGTGGTATGCTGAACCCTAGAATTACAAGTGAGGTGCATGTGGACCCCACCAGCTTTTCAAGTACATTTTTCTAAACTTCATTGCTTATGGTTACAAGACTTTATTGGTTATAAGGTCCTTAATAACATATGCATAACACACGCACAGAAAAAAGGAGATTAATATTGTAGTTAATCGTACTAATTACTATGGGTTCTCCTATGTATTTTACATAGAAAAATGATTTTCAAAATTATTTTGTTCAGTTCTTTACATGAATATTGCAACAGGCAACAAAATATTCAATATATTGCATTAATGAACAGTATATAAATAATTTGGTAGTTTAAGAGTTGAGCAGATCAGAGATATAAAATTCCATTGAAGTTGAGTTGAAAGACTTGACATGTATATTGCAGAGGTGTGGAATTCATAGCAGTTGATGCCTGAAACAATAAATGTTAATGTTAACAACTTTGCTGTTCGATAAGTAGTTTTTGTTGCTTTCCACATTATTTTTTTCTATTGCTAGATAAACTATCTTGGTAGACATCTGTGGAGCTATGCACATTTCCTTAAAATTCTTAACTGTGGAAGCATAGCATTACACATGAACATTTATTTATGCATATCTCTAAATGAAGACTGATTGGCATGACATAGTTGTTAGGGCATATGATTCAAAAATGTGTGTCATGGGATATATATATATATATGTGTGTGTGTGTGTGTGTGTAAGAATATAAATAGAAGCAAAATCCTAAAAGTTCTACTTTTTTGTGTGTTTTGTGGGACAGGAAGGTGGTAAGTAGATGTTGAAAAAGGACAAGCAGATTTTTCTACTATTTCTATCTTGGACTGGATTTTTTTCTCTTCAAAAATTCCTCATTCCTGTGTATTTTTATGGAATTACTGAGATTCCAGTTTCTTGTGTAATCTTTTTCATGAAAACAGCTGTTGATTTCAAAGTGTTACTGAAACCTTTCTTCTGTGAATTGCAAGCTTGTTAACATTATATCCAAAGATAAAATTGACATAGGACATCTTTCTGATAGTATTTGGAGTTGACTTTAACCTTAGATCTGATTGTCTGTAGCTGTAACTTTTTTCTGTAACTAAATCCTACAACCACCATGAGATCTTTTGGAAGAATTTCTTTCATTCATGGTAATATAGCACATTATGTGGACAACAGTAAATTGACCTTTTTTCTTCTTCTTCAACAGTCAGTGAAATACAGTTATGCTTCATTGAAAGTTACTATAAATGTTTATTTTTCACATGCTGATTGTCTTTTATATAACGTTTTTTGTTTTTTTTGGTGGGGGGGTTTCTTTTTTAAGGTGTCTCTCCACTGGTGTGTAAACTTTCAACTTTTGAATATTCATCAAATTTCACTTATTTAATATATTGTTAAAGATACTATGAGACATGCCCAGCTAGACTGGATTCAATAGCTTTGTGAGTCAGAGGTTTTTTTTTCATAACCACAGCTTTTACTGTTCTGATTGATTTGAAGTATGGCTTTGGAGCCTATTGCTGTTCTAAGAACTTCTTCTGTGAGAGATTTTTCACCTTCCACAGAGAACATTTATTTAAGGCTTTTTTTCAAAATAGTGTATTCTTGGTTCTACAATGTTTTAACAGTCTTGTTTTATGGATCTTTAGAAAGAGCAATCATGTACACATCCAGCCACCAATCAAATTTAAGAGGCATTTTTTTAACCCTGTAATTGCATTTTGCTTTTGTATTTTGAAAAGATGTTACATAACTTTAGTTCTAGAGTTATCCTGATATTTCCAAAGAAATAGTAGCTAACTTGCATTATGCTAATGTTGCTATTTGTTTCAGGCTGGAAAGTTACTGTAACTTATCTGGTATAGTTTGTACAATATACTAAAATTATTTCGCTAAACAAGTTTTACTAAGATCACTCAGCATTTTAGAAATTAACTATATTTGCTATGATTCCTTTGATAAGTGCAAATAACTGTGAATTATTTTATGTCATTGCTACTTCCCATGTCATACACGACTTTTGAGACCAATAGTATAAACCTTTCTTTTTATTTGGAGGATGTAGATGGTGAAATAATGTGGGCTTTTGTTTCAAACCCATACACATGTTCTGTTACATCTCCAAAGAAAGAAACTAAACTGAAGGGCCTGAAAAGCTTTATTGCTTATCAGATTACACCATCTGTAAGTATTCTTATTTGTATTTTCTTCTCTAACAATCTTTCTTTATTTTGTGATATCAAAACTAAATTACATTATTTGTGAACATTTGGAAATCAGATTCCTTCTCCAAATTCAAAAGCTTTGATCATTCTTGATGGTAATATTGCTAGAAGTTGCATTTTTTTTATATGGGAGAATAAGTATGTGATATTTTTTTTAAGATGCAACACGTTCTAGTATAGGTAATTAACGAACTGATCAGTGAAGACAGAGCTCTCTGCTTTTGTATCATGTGTAGCTTGTACACTTGTGTGATGGTATTTCATATTGTCTCTAGTTCTGTTATATAATGAACTAGCTGTGACTATAACAAGATAAATTTTTAAATCATTCTGCTAACTTTTATCAATCATTAATCAAAATAAAAAATATTTCTGTAAAATGGTAAAGCCAGACCATATTTTACAAACTTTAGACTTAGAAATGTGTGCATTTATAAAACAAATTAATTACAAAGACTAATCTGGTACCCATAAATTTCATAATGTTTTGTAGCAAATATTTAATCCATTTAAGCAAAACAATTTAAAAAGTTTGGTTTTACTTACTTGCAGCTATGTGAATTGTATCTTAAAATATCTAAAGTAACCAAAAATTGTTAAGTTGACTGGCCATGTTCAGGAACTTAACAATACTTAAAATGACTTCAATAAAAACTTAGACAACAGAGAACAGTAATAGTACAAATCAAGTTTGGTTCTATTTCTGTGTGAAGAAAACATTCCTGCTTAAATATTTCATTGTATTCTGAGTAACTTTTCATCATTAGTTGTCTTTTACAATATATTAAAGTGGATAATCTAATTTTGAATATATCAAATATATATTACATGCCCTTTATGGTAACAGACAATATTACATTACACATTGCTAGGCGAGACAAATTACGTTTAGTTACGCAGATTTTCTTTATGATAGTGTAACATCACTGAGTAAACAGAATGTAAAATGTTAATGAAATGTGTTTATTTCACAGTATAACAACATACAAGTTAGTAGGAGGTACAAACATTTTGACTGGCTTCATGAACGTTTGGAAGCAAAGTTCAACCCTATACCTATACCACCACTACCAGATAAACAGATATCAGGTAAGATAAAGTTCAACTCAGTAGTCATACCACAACTGCCAGATATCAAGGAGGGTAAATTATTACCTTAATTTTTATAAATGCTTATTTCTTTACTTGTTGTAGTCCATAAAAACATCCATTTGAGAAAACTTAATATAATAAGGTGTAAAATAATATGGTTGAAACTAGTTATTGTGTACACAATTTTTGTTCTGCATTGAAATAAGAAACAATCTAGTTCTTAATGTAACTGAAAATCCTAGATAATAGAAGAAAAGATTTAGTCGCTGTGTAATAAACATTAACCCTATCGAGATGGGTCACGGATGAAAGGCCATGTCATCTCATTTGTTGAGTCGCATTCAAAATTTTATTGAACTATTATTTCATGAATTTATGTCAATAACTTTGGTATCAAACTGTAGATTATAATTCAAGTTTTAGTACTATATATTTCTCAATTTCTTAATTTAAAGGCAAATATTAAAAAAACACAGATAAACATCGATTTTTGTCTGTCACATGGTATGTTGAATGCAGCACTGGTTCAAATTAGACATTTGTGAAGTCAAAATACTAAGTCTATAGTTTTGTACAAATTAGAAACTCAAATTATTAATATTGAAAAGCTAGAATATAAAATAAGAGCCTCTCATCTTTTCAATTTGCTAAGATATTGCTCATGTAATAAATCAAACACAGTGGCACCCTGCTCACCTCTTTCCATTTTTGGAAACTCCCTTATATACACTTACTTCTATATATGATATTAATAACCACTCAGAAACTCAGAATGTTTCCCTAGTGGCTTTTTCAGCCATATTAATGGTCTTGGTGCCATTTCTTTGTTTTGAACCAATATTTCAACAAAGTAGGGTGTGCCTTTAGTCTGCTCGAAGTTTCATATTTTTTTTAGACTAAAATACATCTTAGTTACTAAGCTTCATAAATTATAGTGGAATTCTATGGTATTTATGTAGTAACTTATGATTATTTAGTTATTCAAATGTATACACTGAATGGTCACAAGTAAATAGACACCTAAGTTTTCATCATTTAACTAATTTGTGTTCACAGAGCACTATATAAATGAAAATGGTTCGCACACTAATTATCTTGTGCTACAACATGCCTAGAACTCAAGGTTCTCTCGAATTGTCAGATTTTTTTAGAGGAAGGATAGTTGGTCAAGCAGATAGTGGAATAAGTCAGCGGCAAATTTCGCAGAATTTGGGAATCCCACTTTCGACAGTCAACAGAATCATCGTGCAGTTCAGGAAA